AAGAAAAGTAAATGGAGTAAGCCTTATATAAAGATATTTTTTACAATTATGATCATAGCTATGTTAACGATTATCTTACGTTATAAGAAGAATATGTTAGACCATGGTAAGTTAATGTGGAGAGAGTATAACATGGGTAAAATTTTGGAGTAAAAGTCCCCTCTATGACCAGTCTGGTCCAGGGATTAATGGATAAATGGGAAGTGGAATAAAAAAAGAAAATGAGGTTACTCAATCTTGGTGAATTATAAAATAAAATCTTGGAGCTTGAATAATAATATGATAAGATCAATGATCAATGTAAATCTATACTTGCACAGAAATTTAATGGTGTGTAAATGCAATCAATGTCTGATAAAAAAGCCCCTTTGTGGGTGGAGGTACAAAACTCTACTGAAGAAGAGGAGTTCCTAGACACTATATATATAAAATGGTGCACTATCCAACCTTTTAACTAAGAACTCTAGAATGCAGCTAAAGCCTTTCAACTATATAATCCGTAAACAACTATTGAAATTTGCGTGAATGAGAATAATGTGTAGCCCTTACATATTTAGTTTTTTCTGGGAGGTAAGTTTTAATATCATAATATTATGGAATAACTTCCCAATAGCAAAATTCACAAGGTATTCAACTAATCAAAGGTGCAAATATGAGTTTAACCGATTAGAATCTTACAAAATAAACTTTATCTAGGTCCCATATGATAAGGGTCCCTATATAAGATTATGTAAGAGATGTGGTTTCACAACTAATGAGCCTTCTGTTAAGTTAGAAGATGATGTCAAACATTTGTTACAAAATTGTGCAATCTTTGCATAATATATAGGTAGAGATTAACTCCAAATTAATAGATGATTCTAATGAAAAAAATTTTAGCACATTATTAAATTATTATTATTATTAAAAACTTTTTGAGCAAATCTTATTCTGTTTCACTTGCAATCAATAATATACCTCCAGATCTAAATTCATCTTTATAAAAGTTAGATTTATTTAAATTATTTATCTATAATGACACTTATCTTGAATGCTATGTTCATAAATTACTCTTTCAAGTTGGAAGTTCCTTTTTTCTTATTGTAAACCAAAAGAGGATAAAGCTTCTTGTGATCCCAAAATATAGTCACTCTTTGGCTCTTAAGGATTTCATTATAATTATTTTTTTATTCTAACATTTCCTTCCTAATTTTAGGAACTCTGAATTAATAACTTCAGATTCAAAGTTTCAAGTCAATCTAAATTGAGCAAAGTATCACTAATAGAATCTGACAAGTGTTTAATATCCAAAAAGATGGTTGTTAATTTGCAATTCAAGAAATCAAACATTGATTTAACATGTCTCATATTCCATCTTGTACTAAAATAAAATGATTCTTTAAATGCCTTTACAATTCTTTAATTTGTTGATTCAGAAAGACCCAAAGCCACTCCTTTAAAATCTAAAAAATCTATATTAAATTATATTTGTTGTAAAGTACAAGAGAATTCGATTCTGATAAAATTAAATGGGAAATTGTAAAAGCATGAATTTGTAATCTTCAAACTTAAAATTTAAATTATTGAAGTTTCAATTTGGTTAATGAAAAATTCTTTCTTTTATTGTAAAAATATATTATCAATTTTTGAATTTTTAAATGTATAATTGCCACTTTATTTCCTTCAATTACTTAAAGTAGAATAATCAAATATTTTCTAAGTCTAATTATTTAAATATATTTCCTCATAAGGATTAGAAACTGGTATATCCAAAGTAGAAATCCAACTTTTATCTGACAAACCTATCTGTGTGAATCTTGATCTCTCATAATAGAATACTCTAGCATTCAAGTGAAATTTATTACTAAGACGATCAGAAATATCAATTTAGGTGAATAATTGAAATTTCTGTGCTAAGTAGGAATTTTATAGGTCTATGAAAGGATTGTATAAACATAAAAATAAAATATCCTAAGTTTTGCACAAGATATGTATCAGCCAACAGATAAGGTGAATGGAGTTGTCCATTTATAATCATTATTGGAAAATATGATCTTAGTTTCCATAAAAGACTTTATGAATCTAAAATTGACTCCTTGCTAATAAATAATACATAATGGAGTTTGAAATTATGATATCTGGGGATTGAAGATAATTAAGATTTTTTTATGATTTTAATATATTAATAATGATTTTTATTATTGAAAGAACTGATTAATATATATTAAAAACCATAAGAATTGACCTGATGAATTCTAATAGTTATAATTAAAAAATATTACAATAATTATTATTAATGAGAAAGAGCTCCAAAAATGTTATTATTAGAATATGATTAATTAGATACCATCCTTTTAAAAACTTCGAATCTATTTATTACTCTTTATTGAATTAATTACAGTATATTGGCTCTTGTAAAAATAGATATCTTAACTAATTCATGTAATAAAGATTCTTACTAGATACTTCGATTTTCATTAGTTTAGTTTTTATTACTTCATGAGCCTAAAATAGATTTGAATTTTTATATAAATTTTACTTTTAGGAATTCATTATCTCTTTTTAGTTAAGAATATCAGTGTAAAATAATAATATATATTTTGAAAAATTTGTTATTGAATCGAATCTCTATTGAAGATTTGAGAAATTGAATTAGAATATTTCATAATAATACAAGATTGAATTCACAATATAAAAAATAAATGTCTTCTATAATTTTTAATAAAATCTCAAAAATTTATCACATTAAGATCTAATATTTAATTTTCGATTGGTAATATATCTTCTTCCATTTTGGTAAGAGATGGCAAAAATTGGATTTGAAAAGTAAGGATCTTTAAAGATTGGTAAATATAAAAATAAAAAAAATGAATATTATTAGTATTTTATTCCTTTAATCACAGATCATATTGAGTAAAATGTAACAAAATCATGTGCCATTTAAACTTATGCCTCTTTATGTCTATATTCAAAAAGAAAATGATGGAAAATTACTGATAAAACCTAAAATCAAGGAAGTTTAATTAAAATACAAATGAAAATTTCTTTTTTCAAGAAATATTAATAAGAATTTTCCATTAACCTTTGTTTAAATTTAATATTTAGGAAATCTAAAATAATATATAATTTCAATCTAGGATTTATCGAATTTTTAGCAAGAAATAAAAAAAATATCTTTATCATAACAGATTAAAAAAAGGCTATATTTAAAAGATAAATTCTAAACTCATCTTTTTTAATAAATATTATACAAAATTTGGAAAATATGATAAATTATATTTCTAATTTGATTTAATAATTTCATTATTCTTTGTATCTTCTGAGTTGTATTTCTTTTGATTTGTTCTCCCAAGTTATTAGATACTCTCCATCATCGCTTATTCTTCCAAATAAAACATTTGTATTAAAATGAATAGATTATTCAGTTAAATATTCTCCATTTTATTTTTTCCTTATTAAATTGACATATTCACCATTTTTACTGAATAATATGGATTTTGAATTTAAATATTATTAAGGAAATAAACAATAACCATCTGATCCACATTTTACAACAATATCTTTAGTCTTTGTAAACTATTTATTGATAGTGTTCATCTCAAAAATAGATATCTAATTTTAACCACATTGTGATAATGTGAATATATCATTATCAATAAAGCATACTCGTAATGTAGATAATTCAACTGTAATTTTTTATGTAACAATCCATTCTTTATTCTATTATTATTGTTCAATTATTAATATTTATTTATCATTGCCACAAGAGACCACTCTATTTTACTATTAATTTAAACTTAATCCAAATACAGAATTATAATGATCTTTAATAGTTTGTTAACACGTCCATTCATTCTTTTTCATCCAAAATTTAATTGTATTATCTGAACCTCCTGATATAATCAAGTCTTCATTATTATTTAATATTAAACAATATATCCAACTATTATGTCCATTTAATATCTATTAAGTAACATATTATTGATTTTAATTATATTACCATATAATGATAGATTAATAACTCCCAGAAATAAACTAATTTGTTTTCTTCATAAAATTTAGAGTATGTACATCATTATTATGCTCACTTAAAATTTATTTTAATTTCATAATTCCTTAATTAAATTCAAATACTTTAATTTCTTTATCACATCCAGCCAATAAGATTGAACAATCTTTATTAATATCTATTGCCCTACAACATTCATTTTATGAAATTGAATATTGTTAAATTAGTTAATAAGTGAATGATTTAACATTTGAATTATTAATAGATGAAATAGTTTCTAATTTTTCATTATTTGATTAATTATTGAGTAATGACATTTATTTATTTGATGGTTTTAATAGGGAATCTTTATCTGGTACTTTTTATTCAATTGATTTTTAATTTTTTTTAATTCTATCTATCTTTTCTTTTTAAATTTCTTAAGTCATATATTGTTTATGACCTAAAATTTGCAAATTCTCTTCTTATTTTATAGGTATTATTTTGTGATTAATTTAATTGTTAACATTATGTGTTATTAATGATTACATGTCTTAAGATAATTATTGAGCAAGGCTTAATTTCTCAAAATTAGTTTTAGGTGTATTAACAGAAGTTAATGTAATAGGTTGATAATTATAATTTATTAAATCAGTTAAATTAAGAAGTGAATCTATTTCATTGTTAATATTATTGAATGAAGACTATTAAATATATTAATAAATAATATTACTTCTAATTGATTTAAAAAAGCTTCTGTGCATTCATCTACCTTTTATTAATAATTATTTGTTTTCATATCAATTTTTTTATTAATTTCTAAATTATTTAATCAAGAATAATATTTCAATAAATCTATTTATACTAAAAAAACGTAAAACAATATCTTCTAAATATATGTATTAATTTACAAAGTTTAAATTTTATTATATTTTATAGAATAGCCTGCTTATTTGTTCAATATAATATTTAATAAGTCTACATCCTTTTAATGTTTCGAAAGAACTAGAATTAGAATAATGAATTAATTAATAATTAAATTTTAGGGGATTTCCTGTTCAATAAATGGAAAGATAAACACAAAGAAAATAAATATTATAATGTAATATTGAATACAACAATTGATATAATATCATTATTATGATTACTTATGAAATGATGGAGTTAATAAAATAGAAGTTTCTTTATTCTAAGAACCATTAAGATAAGGGACCAATAGCAGATAATTTTCAATTACAAATGCATTTTAAGATTACTTACCTGATTAAAATTTAAGGACCTTTGATTTTTTAATTTAAATAATAATATCATGATGTGAAAATCTTCACATATGCCTTTGTATGGTATTTATTGTATTATTATTAATATTGAATAATGATATATTCAAGGAATTACAGTTTAATTTTTAAACTTCATTAAGAAGTTAATTATTACCTAGTCAATATCCCATTGATCTCTAATCTAATTTACTTTTTAAAGTAAAAAAGAAAATCTTAGTAAAACAAGAAAAGTTTATTACTTTCATATTAATAGAATAAATAAAACTGAATAAATTAAATAGAATAAAAAACATAGATCAATAAAGTTCTTGACTGTAGTTGACTTGAAGCGTTAATAAGACCTTTTTTTATAAGATAAACACAAGAATTTTTAACTTTTCAACTATATAAAAATCTATTCTATCATATTTTTATGAGTGGACAAGAAATATAAGTTAATGCTATTTTATCCCATTAATAAGGATTCATTAGCTCTATTTTAGGGTCACTTTATTATAATCTATAAACCTGCAGGGGTTTTTAATAATAATTATTATGAAATTATTTCTTCCTGATATTTAAAATAATTTGTATTATTAATCCCTCTAAAAAGGCATCATTCCAATATCTAATTATCTGCTGTTTGAAGAAGAGTAGGAAACCAGCTGATTTCTTCTTACCCCTTACTATTATTATTTTTAGCCATTCCTCATTAACCATATTCTTACTCAAGTGATTATTTAATCAAATTACAGGTCTCTTGTGAAGATATTCCTAAATTAATTAGGGCAAGTTACACTTTTTGGCAATTAGCTGATCGCCTTAGTAAGGTTCACCATCCTAGAAAAACACAAATAAAATTAAATAATAAATATAAAATTAGATCAAGATTTTTTCATTTTCTAAAAGAAAATCAGCCTTGAGCTTCTCACTCCAATATATATTATTTATTTTGTTTTGGTAGTAAAGATAATTTTGAAATATAAAACTTTGTCAAACTTAACTCATTCTTTAGATTGATCCGACTTGTGTCTGAAAATATTTCTTTTTTAGTAGGCTGATTCAACTAGTTATTTGGAATACAAGCTAGATTTGGAGAATTACTAAGTATGAATAGAAAATAATATTAATATATATTAATATTTTTCAAATTATTGTAAGCCGCCCTCTTAGGATTTGTGGTATAATTATGCTTGTAAATAAGATTATTGCTCCTTCATAATCTTCAGATTTTTATCCTAAAATAGTTCTTAATTTTGTAAATAAACTCTATTATAAATTGAGTGAAATAATTAGGATGTGAAGAAAATTGCTAATAAAAAGCAGCAATACTTTTGAATCTATGTATTGCTTAAATAAACTTATAAAATATTCTCATTATCAAAACTACATGGTTTAGAAATATGAATATAGAAATGTTAAAAATTTAATTCTAAAGCAGATGATATTCAGCAATTATCAAATATATTAATAAATTAAATTATGAGATTATTTCTGAGCTAAATTCAATTTTTATATGTTCTAATAATATTAAAAATATTTAAAAAAAAGAATCCATCCAATAACATATTAAAATAGCCTCAGAAAATAATAAACTATAATTTATTTTATTATATCTCAATAAAAAACTATACAAGTATCTGACTGTTTCTTTTGATTCGTCCTTAAGCAACTTTTGATGTTATGGATCACCAACTTACTATATTTTAACAACTATTGGTAGATATCAATCGCTAAGGTGAAAACAAGAATCAGAGTGAAACCACTTATATTAACCCACCCTAAACTTTCAGCTGATTCTCTTTTTTGATTTAATTTCAGTATTTCATATAAAGAAAATATTATAGCATTTAACATAATCAATACTTCTGTTATGATTATTTTTATATTTTCTAAATTGTTCTCAAAAGGTTTATAGATATATAAATAACAAGAAAATATTCCTGATAGATATGCTGTAATTAAACATTAAGCTCCAATAAGACCTTAAAATAGAACTAAATTTATAATGAATAAGGTTTTCTTAATCAATAATACTACAAAATATTATTTTGGTCCTTAATGTGCTTAGTTCTTAATTCCTTCCACTAATACTGATAAATTGTTAGCAACTGCATTCTTATAGCTTAGATATGAGTAAAAATAGGCTAAAAAAATGAAATTAAATATTAATGTAATAAAAGCCAAATAGGAGATAGTTGTATTTATTGTGGTGTCTGTATTAAAATTAGCCAATTATAAAATAGATGCAAATGTCAAATCATAAAAGTTAGATGTAAAAATTCTAATTAATCCAGAATAAATAAAATACTAATAGTATTTTCTTGCAAATCTTTGAATGAAAAAAATTACTTTAACTATTTTGAGAATAAATCCTTTTTCATTATTTAATTACCAATTTTCATACTTACATATAATAAGTAATTTGTAAAATGAATATGATATCAAAAAATTGATAAATCCAAATATTATTATAAGTAAAAGTGTCTCAAAGTTTTCCAAAAAGTAACAATTAATTTAATAGTATTCAAATTTCCATTTAGCTATTATGACTGGAACTTAAAAATTAAATATATATTGTAAATTTTGATCTATTTACAATCTATTTAGAATTGGAGTAAAAGAGCCTATTGAAAAAATCTCAAAATAATATTCTAAGTTTTCTGGGAATTCAATATTATGAAATTTCATATAGGATAATTATTAAAACATATCAAGGATATTCCATAAGATTTCTAAATTACCGCATAAAAAAGAAATTCCACTTATAATAAAGATGATATACAATACAATTCTACTCATCATGGAAGTTTTTGTCATAATTAAATATTACTCATCTGACATTTTATAGATAGATCTAAATTCTAATTTTGCTTCATTTGATAATAAAGTGTTACCTTAGATATTTACTATCTTGTCACTATTTACTTAAACTTTTAAAACAGGATTATAAACATTAGTTTTAAAATTCACTACTATTTTATAATTTACTTCTGCCAATTAAGTAGTGATAGGGATTATAGATTTAATTTCAATGGTATATTCTTGATCTTTGGCATTTATTATTTCAATAAAAATTAAATGAAGAAATTATTCTTCACTAATACTTTGTTCACTTAAACATACTGGCTCAGAAAATGATAATTTGAACTCTTAATAACTTGTTTCCGTTTTAGTTAATTTGGTTAGTGTAATTTTAGGTAAAATAGCATAGGCACAAACACTAATAGCAATTTCATTTAAGCATATCCAATTATCTTCAACTTTGCAAGAATTATTGCATCCATCATTATTTTAAAGATTGCCATCATCACATTATTCTATTTGTGATATGAAATATCCATCTCCACAAACATTGTTACAATAAGGTCCATCTTCTATAAGTCCATTTTGACATTAAATACACTATCCTTGAAAACAATCAACACATTTCTAATGACATTAAAAAGTACATTGATAACACCCATCAAATTGAATATTATTTCCATCATCACATTATTCGTTTCCTACTGCATAACCATCACCACAATTTGAAATACAAACACCATCAATCAATAACCATCCCATTTTTAAACATTCCTAACACTGATTGCCATTACAAATATTGCATCCTTATGGACATTAAATTTTGCATTTATAACAACCATCATATGGTAAATAATTACCATCATCACATTATTCATCCTAACTTAAAACAATACCATTACCACAGAAATCATTACATTAATTAGAAAAGCATTTTTTCAGATAGATATCCCAAATGCATTCAACATTTTCACTATCAGTATAGCAAGCTTCTTTAATTTAGTAATCTTAGCAAAGTTGTTTTTTAGTGCATCCTCCATTTTAATTAACAGTACAAAATGGCAAATAGGAATTACATTCCTCATATTTAGTTAGAGAAATTTATGCAGTTTAGCATGTTTTAGTGTAACATTTTTTATTTATCCAAACACAAGGATTTAAATTAATATCAAATGTACAGCCATCAATCATATTTATATCTTCACAGGCCTTTCTTTATACACATTAATATCCATTGGTTACACAATGCTTATCTTCAAATATAGATGCACAATCTGAATCTAGAGAATAATAATAATCTTAACATCCTATTTAACGACAACCCAATTTTTTTTGACAAGTGGAATAAAATATTTAACATTAAAAATCTGATTAAGTTGTTGAAGGTGCATTTTCACATAAACGTTCTTAACAAATTACTTATTTATCATTCCAAAAACAACCAATACCTTTTAAATTCATTTAGCCATCACTAATACATTATTAATAATTGTAGTTCATACAAAAAGGTTAACCAATTTCACATCCATCTAAATTTTTATTGACTGTACACGAATCATCAAAATATAAATGACAACTATTAGCTGTATTATTAATTAATTAGGCTGTTAAGCAATCCTTAATAGTACATTTATTTTGACTTTTTATCCATTCGCATTTAACATTATTGTTATCAATCTAACATTATTCTTGTATTTAGTAAGTACTACAATCATTTAATTATTAACATCCATTC